GTCACAAACAATGGTGCGGTTTAAATTTGGATTTGTAACAACATCACAAACCTTTAGACTATATGGTCGACTTTAAAGAGAAAAATGAAGCATAATGTATATGGTATGCCGCAAAACAAGGAGTCTATATTTGACATTTTAGTTCTTACTAGGTAAATCACTAGTGAAGTAGTTCTGTTTTGTGGTGTAGAGAGAGACTCTCTATATTTAGATAACTCGAAATAATCTCCTTAGTTTCAGCATCATCTAACTCTCACTCAGAAACACAAACTCATACACAATAATGCAATAGGAATTAGAAAAGGGAATGATTAGGTATGATGAGAGATTACATTCCAAAATACTTGAACGCATTTCTCTTGGTATTTGCTACTTTCGCAGTAGTTTTTGCCATTTTCATAGCAAAAGATTCAAAAACATCTTCTCATCTTTACTTTTCAACATCATCTTCACTATTGACCTCTACCTTCTCCTCCTCCGCCTTCATCACGGTATCCATCTCTCCTTCCCTTTCATCGATTTACGTGCCATTGTTTCAAACGTCGATTAAAATATACCGAAGATCAAGAACTATGTTTACTTTTGCATTTTGAAGGAAAAAAGGAAGAAAAATGGATCAAATCCAGGTTCTGGATCTTGGAAAAGAGACAAGAAAGTAGAAGCTGAATTAGCAACCGCAAGGGCTTTGATCAAAGAAGCTCAATTAAACCCTAACTCTACAACATCATCTCCCCTCGGAGACGAAGACTATGTTCCTCATGGTGACATTTACCGAAACCCTTATGCATTTCATCGGTAAAGATATTTACTTATGCGTTTACTTGCAAGAAAAGTTACCGTCTAAATACTGATAATGTTTACCTGTGGCAGAAGTTATCTTCTTATGGAGAAAATGTTCAAGATATATGTGTACGAAGAAGGAGATCCACCGATCTTTCACTATGGTCTTTGTAAAGACATATATTCCATGGAAGGATTGTTCCTAAACTTTATGGAAAATGATGTACTTAAGTACCGAACTCGAGATCCAGACAAGGCTCATGTCTACTTCTTACCTTTTAGTGTTGTCATGATCCTTCACCATCTTTTTGACCCGGTTGTTCGCGACAAAGCCGTCTTGGAACGTGTTATCGGCGACTATGTCCAGATTATTTCCAAGAAATATCCGTATTGGAACACAAGCGATGGGTTTGATCATTTCATGTTATCTTGCCATGATTGGGTAAGTTGTTCTGAATTGTTGGATTTATAAGTGTTTGGTTCTCTTTCGGTTAGCCAATAACCGATGATTCAGTCGGTCTATTTTGCTTAAAGCCTCTGAAGTTACATTGTTACAGGGACACAGAGCAACATGGTACGTAAAGAAGCTATTTTTCAATTCAATAAGAGTACTATGCAATGCCAATGTATCAGAGTATTTCAATCCGGAGAAAGATGCTCCGTTTCCTGAAATCAATTTACTAACCGGAGAAATCAACAACTTAACCGGCGGTTTAGACCCAACCTCTCGTACAACACTCGCTTTCTTCGCTGGAAAATCCCATGGAAAAATTCGACCGGTTCTTCTAAACCACTGGAAAGAAAAGGACAAAGACATTTTGGTTTACGAGAATCTACCGGACGATTTAGATTACACAGAGATGATGAGGAAAAGCCGGTTTTGTATTTGCCCGAGCGGTCACGAAGTTGCTAGCCCGAGAATACCGGAGGCGATTTACAGCGGATGTGTACCGGTTCTTATCTCGGAGAACTATATTTTGCCGTTTAGTGACGTTTTGAACTGGGAGAAATTTTCGGTTTCAGTATCGGTTAAGGAAATACCGGAACTGAAAAGGATATTGATGGATATACCGGAAGACCGGTACAAGAGACTATACGAAGGAGTGAAGAAAGTGAAGAGGCATATATTGGTTAATGATCCTCCAAAGAGATATGATGTGTTTAATATGATTATACATTCTATTTGGTTAAGAAGATTAAATGTTAAACTGTTATGAGTTTAGTAATCTTTTCTTCTGCAATCACAAGTAATTAAGTGAACTTCTAAGCATTTCATTAACTTTCATAACTTCATAGAGTTAACTGATTAAGAAAGAAAATACAAAAACAGAGTGCCAAAATAGATATCATCATGAACTACACTTGTTCTTACACACTCTCAGAGTGTGTTCTGTTTAAGGTAGTGATTCCCTAAGACTTACCATAAAGACTGATCATAATTCAGATGCAACCAAAAACTAGTCGTAGATCTTGTCATTTCACGATCTTTCAATTTTTACTCTTTGATGTCGTCGCCTTTTTTCTCGCCACTGGTGCCTTTTTCTTCTCTTCGGGTCCCCGAGACCTGAACAAACACAGAACAAAAAAAACTCAGCTTTAGAACCAAAAAGAAACTCAGATTACTGAAGCTAGTGAGAAGATGTAAAAACTCACTCCTTTCCACTTAAGTCATTGAGAGCCTCTTCCACTGCAGACACTACCATCTTCTTTATCTGTTAAACCAAACACACACGGAATAAAACCATTTAGAGATAAGTTAAGAAAAACACTGTTAAAACCAACCAGAAATTGACAAGAAAGGAAATAAGAAATACCTGCAACTTGTCCTCTTTTGAATGGTGGTTAGGTGGCAGAAGACGATACTCTTTTGTCAAGCGGAAACACTCGCCGACATTTTCAGGCGATACAAAATCGAGCGCCACCTTGGTGCAAGACTGCAAGAAACAATATCAACTTAAACGATCAAGTAATGAACCACTGATTCCACTGTATCCAAAGCAAAAGAAAGTATAAAACTTTACCTTCAAATTTCTGACTTGATGAGGGCAACCTACAGGTATTAAAACAGCATCTCCAACCTTCTGAACAAACGTCCATGGCTCAATACCTACACAACACAGTTCATAAAATAAGACCAAAACCACCAAAGATAACGTGGAAAATAAGGAAAATGTGATTGTTCCGATACAAACCAAATTCTTCTTTCAGCTTCGTTATATGATATCGAGTCAAATAGAAAGTCTGATCATGTATTGGATGAACAACCTACAAAAAAGAAGGTAGATGAACATGTAAGATATAAAAGCAAAACCCACAAAACTGTAGAGACTATAAGCAAACATATCTTCAATGTAACCACTGAAACTTTCGAGGCAAAGATAGTGTTGTTACCTTAGACACGGGGCAACAGAAGAAATGTCTGAACTCTTTGTAATGCTTCTGAAGGTATTCTTCTAGTTTTGGAACATCTTCTCTACGGAAAATGTCCCAAAGAGCACCATCATCTTCGCCAACTTCTTCTTCATTAGTGTTTTCAAGACTCTTCATCTTTTCCTCGTAGTTAGGTACTGAGGAATACAGCTCCTTCAAATCTTGTTCAGCATGCGCCTTTTTCAGTTCTTCAATTTGGGGTTGTTTCTTCGGATCAATGGGCACTTCAGATATGTGAGTCAACACATTCACCTACGAAAACATAAATAAAGATACTGAAAATGTCAAGATAAAAGAGAGTAAAACTTTTACACATTCGTGCAAGAATGAAAATAATATTTTATAAAACAGAGCTTTGGTAACTCCGCCGGTACATAATTTTAGCTTTCAGTTACTTTTTTGCAAGGACCATAAAAGCAACTTAATTGTAAGGAGACCATTTTCAGTTTACATTCCTTGAATCTAGTTTGTACGAATTCATAGGTCCTAAACCAGTAGAGAGACTAAACCGGAAAGGAAGTCAGAGAGAACCAATACTAAGTG